TTTGTTTTTAAACTTGGTTTGAACAAGAGGCTTGAACTCAGAACCCTGAGATCAAGACCTGAGCTGAGATCAAGAGTCAGATGCTTGGGGGATGCCTGGGTGGCTCAGTGGTTGAGCATCTGCCTTCGGCTCAGGTTGTGATACCTGGATCCTGGGATCAAGTTCAGCATCGGGGTCCCTGCGGGGAGCCTGCTTTTCCCTCTGCCTGTGTCTCTGCCTCCATGTGTCTCTCATGAATGAATAAATAAAGATCTTTAAAAAACAACAAAAAAAGAGTCAGATGCTTAACCAACTGAGCCACCCAGGCACCCTTCCTTTTGATTTTCTTAATAATGCTTTCTTTTCTCTAGCTTACTTTATTGTAAGAATACCGTATAAAATACATATACAAAATATGTGTTGTTTATGTTGTTAGTAAGGTTTTTGGTCGACAGAAAAACTTTACTGTTAAGTTTTATGCTTCTAACTACTGTTAAGTAGGGAGTTAAAAAATTATACGTGGATTTTTTTTTAAAGATTTAATTTATTTATTTATGAGAGACAGAGAGAGGCAGAGACACAGGCAGAGGGAGAAGCAGGCTCTATGCAGGGAGCCCGACGGGGGACTCGATCCCAGGTCTCCAGGATCAGGCCCTGGGCTGAGGGCAGCGCTAAACCGCCGAGCCACCCGGGCTGCCCTATACATGGATTTTTGACCCTGCAGGGGGTTGGCGTCTCTAACGCCCGTGTTATTCAAAGGCCAACTATATTTCTGTAATTGACCACAATTTTGTCAACCGAAATTGCATGATGTCTCTTAATGACAGTTATAACTGTTATCAACAGATACCTGAGTACCTATGACAGGTGGAAACCATGATACATGATGCATTGGCCCCCGGTTCTTAAGAGGCTTCCAGTCCAGATGAGGAGGCAAATAGACGATGCATAGGAGACTATCCAGTTCCTCTCCCTAATGGGGTAAAAGGGAACAGAAGTGAGAATGGGGGTATTACCTTCTCTTCTGCCCTAATGGCTTCCTTCAGAAGGAAGGATTTGTTAATCGGATTGGTCAGAACCCAGGACACCAGCGGATTCCACATTCAACCTGGTTGGGGTCACTTTGTGTTGAAAGGTCACATGGCTGTGTGTGCTGCTTTGCTCTCCATTTCCTGCTAAGTAGGCCCAGCTCAGCCTCCAGCACACACTTAGAAGAGGAAAGCTGGTCTGCTTCACAGATCTGATCATCTTCTCCCCTCTTTCTGCAGGCATGCCCACGCATCCTGGCCCCAAAACGTAGAGGGTGGAAGGGGAACAGGGAATTAGGAAGCTTCACTGCAGCAGCCTTAAACCTATGCCACGTCATCCAACTAAGTCTTCTGGCAGAGTTCTGTTCTAGAGGTTATTGGGTGCGAGCTCAGCTATGAATAAAATGATCCTTTGGTTTCAATTCCAATTTCTTTCTTGTGTATGTATTGTTCCCCTTGGGAACCCTAAGGAGAGGAGAGATGATTAGCAGAGCAGTTGACTATTTCTGGTCCTTGAGTGTGGCATATTATAGTGTTGGTCACCGGCTGTCATACATTTTTGCTGTCCTTCCCTGTGGATGTCAGAGTTGGCCAGGTGAACTTGTTCTGACCAAGAAAATGTATCGGTTCCAGGCAGAAGTATCAAGAGCCAGTGTGTCATTCACCACAATCACCATAATCGCTTTTCTTCTTTCATGAGACCAACACTGTTCTGGATAAGGGTCACTTATAAGCCCAACCCCAGCATGAAGACAAATTAGGATATAGCCAAGCTGACCTGCCATGAACATGTAGGGTATTTCAAGAAAAAAAAAAAAACAACTTTGTTGTTATAAGCTACTTTGAGATCATTTGTTACTGCAGCCTAACCTAGCTGACATGTTTACCTTATACAGTTGAACACTGTGATGTGATTTGTCCTAATATCTTTTCTCCCTTCATTTCTCCTAAGAAAACCCTCATTTTGCTCAGGTGATTCTCCAAACTCTATGTGTGCTTGGGGGGAAGGGATTCTAATTCCCAGTCACAGGGGCGAACCATAATTAATTTTATGATAGTTTCTTCCTCCTTGATGGCAACTAGTTCAGATATGGGCATATGAGACTACGGGAAGTTGGCTTGAGGGCTTCCAAGACAGGTATTTCCGTGCTAATTAAAAGGGACACATGAGAAGAAACAGTCTGTCTACTTCTGCCAGACATTATGCATACGCATGACTTAGGTGGACTTGACAACCGTTTTGTAACTATGGGGGGCACTGACCTAAGAATGTCAGAATGAAAAGATGGAAAGAATTGAGATCCCCTGATAGTGTTACTTAGCTGTTAAATGAATCTACCTCTAAATTTCTTGCTACGTGAGATAGATAATATATTTTCCTTATAGTTTAATAAGACAGTAGAATCTGGAATTGAGGGGAAAAGAATGAGTTTCGTTTTAGGGGCATTGAGGTGATGGCAGAACATCCTTTTACATGCCAGAGCTCAAGAGATGTCAGAATTAAATTTGAATTTGGGAGTCATCTGTGAAGAAATATTATATAACAATACATCTGGGAAAATAATCCTATGCCAGAGACAGTATCTATGTACTTGAAGGATTTCAGTAATATAATAAAACATTAATCTAAACAAATGTAGCCATCTCCTAACTGGATATACCACTGTCCCAGGTCCTCACCTGTCACCCATCCTAGGAAAGGGAGAACACAGGGGTGGTAGGAACCTGCTACCAAGGGAGAGGAAAGACAGTGAGGCATTGATGACACCATCTGGGTCCTCAGACCCTGCCCTCCTCAAGCCTGGATATGCACATGATCTGCATATGACTTATGCACTCTAATCTTGCATAGATGACTATAAACGTGGGTTATAAGTGCCTTCTAAAATTACTCTTATATACCTCTTTTTTTTTTTAAAGATTTTTATTTATTAATGAGAGAGAGAGAGAGAGAGGCAGAGACACAGGCAGAGGGAGAAGCAGGCTCCATGCAGGGAGCCTGATGTGGGACTGGATCCCGGGTCTCCAGGATCATGCCCTGGGCCGAAGGCAGCACTAAATCGCTGAGCCACCCGGGCCGTCCCTTATATACCTTTTAGTAAACAATCGTTCCAGCAAACTATGGTTCATCATCTCATAGACTTTCTATGTGTCATACTGCAAAAGCCCCGGAGGGAGCACCAAGGTCAACAAAATGAATGCCATGAAGTATCAAGGAAATGGTCCATGTAGAATATAGAGTCTCTGATGCCCAAGCTGATCTGTGGTTAGAAGATAGTTTTGGGGGTACCTGGGAGGCTCAGTCAGTCGAGTGCCTGACTCTTGATTTCCCTCAGGTCACAATCTCTGGGTCACCAGTGTCACCCTCACCATGGGCTCTGCATTCAGCGTGAAGCCTGCTTGAGATACTTTCCCTCTCCCTGTGCCCCTCCCTTTGCTCGTGCTCTTTTTCTCTATAAAATAAATTTACTTCAAAAAATAAATTAATTCAAAAAATTTTAAAACATTTATTTATTTATTTATTTATTTATTTATTTATTTATTTATTTATTTATTTAATAGAGAGAGAGAGAGAGAGAGAGGGAGGGAGGGAGGCAGAGCGCACAAGCAGGGGGAGCTGCAGAGGAAGGAGAAACCAATTCCCCACTGAGCAAGAAGCCACACACGGGGCTTGATCATGGGATCATAACCCCAGCTGAGGTCATACGCTTAACGCGCTGAGCCACACACTGCCCCTAAAATACATTTAAAAAATCTTAAAAAAAAAAAAAAGGATTTGGAAGTTACTAGTTTATTGATACTTTAATACATAGGAGAGGGTTCTGTTGAAACACAAAAGGATTTACCTACTATGGCTTGAAAAAGCATTAATTTTTGAAATTCTGTTTAGACGTAACTTTGCCAAAGACATACCCAGTGGGTAAAATGCACACATCTGCACACTATTTGCAGTGAAGCCTGTACTTTACCTGAGACATCTTAAAATAGGTTCCTAACTCGTCACTGCTGGGCCGGCCCTGAAATTACTCTCGCTTCCCTAAGCAGGAAAAAAACAGAGACAAACAAAAGCAAAAAACAGAAAAGACATATTTTAATGAGCTGGAAGAGCAAATGCAATCTTCAAAGATGTCTAACTTCAGTCTTGCAGTTATTTAGAAAGGATCTGCCTCCAAACATTGTTTTTGGGCAGAATTTGCAATTGGCTAGGACCGAGGACGGTATTTAAAGATGACTCAGTTGTAAGGTGGGGGTGGGGGGGCCGGGGTGGGGGGGACCAGCCAGCGGCCCTTCCAAGCCAGTGGATTCATCACCTTGGGGGTCCGAGGCCCAGAACCGCCGGACCCTGGGAGCCGCTGCCCAGTGTAAGAAAATCCGAGACCCGAGAAATGCACCTCCGAATTGTCCGGATGGGAGGCGGCTAAAACCCAACTCCCCTCACCCCACCCGCAGCTCCAGGCCAGGATTTCCGCAGAATATTCTCAGGCCAGGGACCAAGCGGGGGTGGGGTGGGGGGGTGCTGCGGCGGGGACCCTGGGCGGGGGACCCTCGCCGGGCCCCGGGGTCCCCCTCGGGACGTCCCCGAGGCCCTGCTCCCGACTCCGGCGGGGCCCACGGGTGCTCGCGACCGCCGTGGGACGCGCCCCGCTGCGCATCGCCCGCGGAGCCGGGCCCCGGCCGCCGTCCCGCGCCCCGCCACCGGGCGGGCGACGCCACGCGCCCCGGTGCCCCCGGCCCTGGGACGCGCCCCGCTGCGCGCCGCCGGCCGAGCCGGCCGGGCCGGCCGGGCCGCCCGGGAGGCCCCTCCCCCGGCCGCCGCCGCAGGCCCCGGCCCGCCGCCCCTCCCGGGCGCCGCCCGCCGAGGCCGCCCCTGCAGCCGGCCCGCGCCCGCCGCTGCGCGCTGATTGGCTGCCCGGGCCGGCGGCGGCGCCGAGTGGCCGGGCGGCTCCGCGGGGTCAGGGCTGCAGAGGCGCCTGGCGCACCGGCGGGAGCGGCAGCGGCAGCGGCGGCGGCGGGAGCCGGAGCGGGAGCGGGAGCGGGAGCGGGAGCGGAGCCGGAGCGGAGCCGGAGCGGAGACGCCGGCCGCCCGCCCGCCAGCCCGCCAGCCCGCCAGCCCGAGCGAGCGAGCCAGCGAGCGGCCCGGGGCGCGGAGGGGCCCGCGGGGCGCCGCGCCCTGGCCGCCATGTGCTCGCAGCTCTGGTTCCTGACGGACCGGCGCATCCGCGAGGACTACCCGCAGGTGCAGATCCTGCGCGCGCTGCGCCAGCGCTGCTCCGAGCAGGACGTGCGCTTCCGGGCGGTGCTCATGGACCAGATCGCCGTCACGGTCGTCGGCGGCCACCTCGGTGAGCGAGGCGGGCCCCGGGGGGGCGGGGAGGCGCGCCGGGGTCCCCGGGAGCGGCCGCGCGCGCCCGGGCCTCCTCCAGCCGAGTCTCCTTCGGGCCCCCCCAGCCCTCCTCGGGCTGCAGGAGCCCTAACCTCGAGCGCCCGCTCGGGCCACCGCCACCTGCCCCGAGGCCAGCATCCGAGGACCCCCGGCGCCCGGGCGACTTTGGGGAGGAACGCGAAGGCGCCGAAGCCGCCCGGAGGTGCGCGGAAACCCAGCTGCAGACCCCGGCCTGGCAGCCCCAGGTCGCGCCCGCCCGCCGCCAGGACGGCTCTAGCGACCCCTCGCCGCGCTGACGACGTCGCCGTAGGACGACCGCTCGTAAAAGTTTCGGGAGTGTGTGAGCCTCGGCGATGCGCTACCTAGAGTGTCAGTCCCAAACCGGGAACCTGCACGGGGGGAGACGGTTACCGTTGGAGTCACCTCCTGAGTGTGTAAGTGGGAGACGAGCCCGTTGATGGGTTCTCCTTTGAACGCATTCTCCCCCCCCCCACCCCCGAAAGTGTCCAATGCCGAGTCCAGAAAAGCCAAGATTTCAGGTACACACCGTCCTAGCCTCCTCTGTTTCTCCACGGATGTGTCCAAGAGACATTTTGGGGTGAGACACGGTTATTCACCTGTGACCCTGACCTCGAAAGGTGAAGCATAAGCATGGTTTTAGATACTCTGAGGTATCTCTACGGCGGCGAGCAGCCTCTGATGGGAATCCCTGTTTTAGGAACCCGCCCCCCCCCCCGCCCCCACACACAGCCTGCAGTTCGGGTGGCTGCAGCCTCCACCCTGGAAGGAAGCCAGCTACTTCTCTGGGATAAGATGTGGGACTGGGGGTGGGGGCGGGGGCGGTATTGGGGCCCAGTTCAGGGTGCTTTGTGGGACGTCGTCCTTATTATTTCAACCATACCCTGGCTAAATAAGCTCACGATTTGGTCTTCTTTAGCAGAGAAAAGGGATTCCAAATTCTGAACAGGTTACTCCTAGAGATCTTGAATATGACCTGTGTCTAATGTATCTGTTCTAGAAGCTTCATCCATAGATTTACCTAAACCCTTCATAAGTAATATCAGACTGTGGAGCCGCCCGGAGAAATGCACTACAAGCATTATTAGATGTCATACATTTAGCCTGAAACAGTGTGTCATCTGTAAGGGGTACTATCTCTCTAATCTCGATTTGCTAAGACTCTTACAGTTAGTTCACATAGACCTAGATTCCTGAACGAGGGACCCGCAGACCTGGATCCTTAGCACAGCTTTGCTGCTAACAAGTATCTTGGTTTTGCACTGGCCGGGTCACTTTATGACTTTGAATCTCAGGTTTCTTGTGTATATAAAACTAAGGGTTAAGATCCGTCCAGCTCTGAAATTGTTAAATGGAATAATCTTAAATGAAATAATCTTATATTTTACCGATCTAAGGTCTAGTATATGCGTCTTTCTACCCCCAGGGTCAGTTTGTCTGCTCCTCGTTTTATTTATCTTACAGCTTGTAAAGATGCCTTTTATTGAGGTATAGTCATTGAAGTTCCATATCATATTCCTGTTCCCATCCTGCATTCTGTGAAAGAGGAGGGAAATGTTGTTTTGTTTCTAAAACCCCATTTTAGGAGCACCTGGCCGGCTTAGTTGGTAGAGCATTTGGCTCTTGATCTTGCGGGTCATGAGTTTGAACCCCACGTTGAGCATAGAGCTTACTCTTAAAAAATTAAAAAAAAAAAAAAAAAAAAACCTGTTTTAAAGAATTGGCCCTAGAGAAAGAAAATTATATTCTTGTGCTGCAGGAAGAGTTTAAAGCCTTTTGTTTAGTGTCTTAAAATTTTACAGGAATTCATATGTGAATGTATCTCAGTCTTTTCACAGAGCAGAAGTTCCTTCTTTTTAAAGTAGAAGAAAATATATGTAGTTATTTGCCTAGTTGATGGAGAAAACTGAAGACAGGCATTTTTTGAAGCAGTTTTAATCTTCTGCTAAATGAGAGATAGCCGCACACAATTCGTTATACAAAACAAACCAACCAGATCACTATTTCTGCCATCCCAAGCAGTCAAAAGATTTATTTGTCATGGGAATGGATTAATTGAAGCACAAGGAAATAATACTTGCTCCATGCAAAGAGTGAGCTCCTTTGCTTGTTCAGTGCTGTAATGATGACATGAACAGTGTCTTGCAATAATAGGCACTCTAAATACTTTTGAGTGAATTAAGATATGCACTCTATTTCCCAGTTTCTTTTACAAACTGTAGAAAAGCACTGGCAGTTTGCTGAGCCAAGTAATCCTCTGAAATAAACTCTAGAACTTAGTGGCTTTGAAATACAGAAATAGTTACTGATATTAATGCCATTTCTCATTTGAAAATTACTGAGTGTGAGAGCTGGGAGAGCCTTTGAGATATCCATCCTGACCCTTCCGTTTTTGTAGATGAAGGACCTGACGCTCAAAGATACTCAGTTAGCAGCTAGTTAGCAGCTTAACGACAGTTCAAGACCCGATCTAATTCCCAGCTACGGGTATGAAATACGTGGGTGCAAGGGCATCTGTAGCCTATAGTGCTTTTTTTCTGTGGATATGGAATTGAACTGAATTGAATTACATTGAGGCTCCATGGTGACTTTGCAGAGTGATTTTAAAGTTTACAAAGTTAAGGCACCATCTTTACAAAGTCTGCATTCATTCTACTGCTCCCTCTGTTCCTTCTTGACGTTAGTATGGGGGTCAGTGCAGGAGTCACTTTGGGACAGTATGGGGAGGACCTCAGCCAATGATATTCTTTCCTGAGCTTCCTTCTGTGGAGGCTGGTGGGACCCCAAATCCAGAGACCAAAATTTCAGGTTATGTCTGGAAATAGGATTTATGCAAGGGATGAAAGGTTTGGGATTTAAAGATTGCAGTTATTTATTTATTTTTTTTAAAAAATAATTTTATTTATTTATTCATGAGAGACACAGACAGGGAGGCAGAGACACAGACAGAGGGAGAAGCAGGCTCCATGCAGGGAGCCCGATGTAGGATTCGATCCCGGGGCTCCAGGATCAGGCCCCGGGCTAAAGGCGGCACTAAACTGCTGAGCCACGTGGGCTGCCCCAAGATTGCAGTTATTTAAGCAAGATAATACAAGGAAGCTGAAGATGCCATGCAAATGCAAGATTTTAGGATGAGTGGTCCAGCTGCCCCAGCGTAGGTTTGGATGGGATGGATGGGAATGGCTACTGGGAAGAGCAGAATGACCTTCCTGGGACTGAAGCAATCCCATAGAGAACACTTTCCCTTCACCTTCCTGTAGGACATAGCATAATGAGAGCCATGTCTCACTTCATTCCTTCCTAGAAACAACAAGTTCTTCATTCACTCAGCAAATATTTCTTAATTATTCTCAACTGTACGGTGAGGTGGTGGTGAATGTGTCACCCGAGCACACATCATAATAGTCAAAGCAAAATATGCATAGTGTTTATTGTGTGCCAGGCAGATGTCAAGGTTCTTTCTGCAAATGAACTCTTGTAAACATCGGTAGGGTATCTGGCACCTAGTACTGGCTGGTGGTTAGGACCAATACTCAGGAATTCCAGGCTCAGCAAACTTGTTTCCTCTCTTCCATGCCACCCCATCCGCACATCGCCTGCCCTGACTTCACCGTGCCCTGTGCACTGATTGCCTCGGCCCCGGGGTGCTCATCATCTTTTGTTTTGTTTTGTTTTTTTAAAGATTTTATTTATTTGGGGATCCCTGGGTGGCTCAGCGGTTTAGCACCTGCCCTTGGCCCAGGGCGCGTCCCTGGAGTTCTGGGATCGAGTCCCGTGTCAGGCTCCTCCCTCCTCCTGTGTTTCTGCCTCTCTCTCTCTCTCTCTCTCTCTCTCTCTCTCTCTGTGTCTATCATGAATAAATAAATTTTTAAAAATCTAAAAAAAAAAAAGATATTTATTTATTTGACAGAAAGGGAGAGCACAAGCAGGGGGAGTGACATGCAGAGGGAGAGGGAATCGATCCCAGGACTCTGGGATCATGACCCAAGCTGAAGGCAGACACTCAACTGACTGAGCCACCCAGGAGCACCCCAGGATGCTCATCTGGTGCTCCCTCTCCCTCACGTGGCAAACTTGTATTCCTCCTTCATCCTCAGCTCACATCACTCATCCCTCTGAGGTCTTTCTGGAACTCCTTCCCCTCCCTTCAGGCCATCTCTTCTCCATCTGCTGCCAAGCTAACACTGTATATCCTTTTAAAATAGCATCCATCATATTTTATTGTAATTTATCTGTTTATAAAGTTTGTTGTCTCTCCCTAAATGACTGGGGATCCCTCAGATGTGTGCTCCGCAACTGGCACACAGTAGGCCTCCAGTTTATGTTTGGATGATTGAGTGAAGGGCCTGAGAGGCTAATTTGAAGCATATGAGACTTTTACCATAATTAGATTCTGTTTGGGAGATCATGGTTGGATGTGTAAATGTTTTTTGTCTGCGAGGGCAGAGTCATTAGTGCAAATTAAGTTCTTTGGCCACCCATGAGCCTTGACAAAGACAATTTCTTGTCTCAAGAAATAAGTATAGTCACAAACTCAGGGATAGGCATCAAGACCAAAAAGCAGTGCATCTGACCTGGAAATGAGGGTGTGTAATAGTTAGTCTCTTAGGAGCAGAATGATTCAGCATTCCTTGCCTTCCTTTCAGAGCTGAAACCTTGGTGGCCATATGGTGATTTCTAGGTCAGATTCTTTTTTTTCTCTTTTTTTAAATTTAATTAATTTATTTAAGATTTACTTATTTGGAGAGAGCACGTGTGTAGATGCATGCCTGTGAGTTGGGGGAGAGGCAGAGAGTCCCTCAGGCAGGCTCCCCACTGAGCACAGAGCCCCACGATCCCAGGACCCATGAGATCATGACCTGAGCTGAAACCGAGAGTCAGGTGCCCAACAGACTGAGCTACCCAGGCGCCCCCGGGTCAGGTTCTAAAGGTGTCTGGGCT